TCCTCTGAAGAGTCCTTGTAGTCCTTTATGCTCCATAGGGAGCATGGTCCCACTCTAGTCTTACTCCTGGAGGTGGGAACTGGTTTCCCCTGCCAGCCTGGCCCTGTGGTGCAGCCCTGGTACCACAGCCCTGGCTAGGATTGCAGTGTTCCCCTGGGACTGTCTTTCTGCTCTGCCTGGGGATACAGAATAAACAGCTGTCCTGAAGTGCAGGTGTTGTAGTGGTGCTTGTTGTAGTTCAAAAGCATTATGGAGAGAGAAGATCTTAATAGCTAGAGGGGGAGAGTTCTGCTTAGAGAGAAAGATTGCTTTCTGCCAAGAGGTTCTGCTTGGTCTGTGTTCCTTTGAAAGTAGCAGGAAACCTGGCAGCAGCTGACTCTGCATGCCTTTGCCTCACCATGTTGGTGCATGGTGTAAGCTGCATGCAAGTTGCCTTTGTGCTGGACAGGCAAGTGGTGAAATGGAAATCCCACTGAGATGAGCTGAGTTCCTCTGTGCTCCTTCTGTGTAGATTGTTTGGTCTGAGCTCCCCTGAGTACTTCTCTCTTTGGTGAGACAGCTCTGAAAGTTGACAGCTACTTCCCTGAGCTTAATATAACTCAGCACTGGCCATGTCGTGCAGCTTTGAACCACACAGTGACTTTATCCATGTGCATGGTTCCTCTTCTGGGGAGATGAGTATGGGGATGATGATGGTTAACCCTTTCCCCTTTGCACCCTGCAGGTATGACTCGGGACGGGATGGATATATCGACTTGATGGAGCTGAAGCTCATGATGGAAAAGCTGGGAGCCCCACAGACCCACCTGGGGCTGAAGAACATGATCAAGGAGGTGGATGAAGACTTTGATGGGAAGCTCAGCTTCCGTGAGGTGAGGGTGGCTGCAGTAACAGACAGGATATGGCTGTGGGGTTGAAGGAGGAGGCAGCTGGGCTGTAGGTAGCCCTCTCCCCTCTGTGTTCTTCCAGTGGTGGGGTGCAGTGGAGAAGACGGTGAGTTTCCCCATGCTAAGGGTGCAGGGCACTGTTAACCTCCATCTCCACGTGGCAGTCATGGTATCTGATGCCAAAGCTCTCCAACCTCCCTGCTTGCTTTGGGAGCATGTTTGAGCCCTGTTGCAGCTGCTGGGAGTGGTCACTGAGCTCACTGTTGTAGCTGGAGGGAGTTAGGTCCCTTGAGTTTCCAGGTCTCATTGCTTGGCTCCTGTGGTACAGCAGCTGAGACCTCATTTCAGGTGCAGTGCAGGAGCTCTGCTTGGAGCAGCTCATCTCATGGGGCACAAAAGGCTCTCTACTAGTTTGTATTGGGACCCTCTCTGCATCATGTAGTGAACAGTAATGGCAAGCTTTATGAGGGGTGGTTACCTCCCTGCAGTAAGGAATGAATGTGTGGATGCAGCAGTTTGGTACTGCATGCTGGCTCAGCAGGGACACAGCTCAAACAGGTCTGTCTGTTATCACTGTATTGTGACAGCTGGGAGGACAAGTCAGGATCCTCTGCCAGACAGAGGAAGAGAGGAAATTTGAGCAGTGACCTGCAGGCACTCAGGGGTACCCAAATCATCTCAGCAGGAAGGGGGAACCCAAGGACCAAAAGCTCCTGTTGCATCATCTCCTCCTCTCAGACTTTGATAGCTGGCTCAGTCACAAGCAAATTTCACACTGTGGCTTTCTGAATTAACCCATAGCTCCTTAGGTAGCAAGAGGAGGGGCAGCACTGCTTATGTCCTGCACTGGTTTTGGGGGCTGTGCTGCTTCCTTCTGTCCTGTGGGATGCCTGCGGTGGGCCCTGAGCTGTTGGGCTCCCTAGTTTCTGCAGGCATGATGTTCTCACCAAGCCTCTTCCAGGCTAGGGCTCAGAATGTCAAGCTCTGCATTGTGGAAGTTTGAGGGCTTTGGCAGTGCTGGGGCACTGACTGCACTGGTTGGGGCATGAGGGGTTGCTGTCACTTATAGAGCTGCTGCACCATCTCTCTGTGCTGGCACATCACACCATCTTACTCTGCTTTCGTGCCCCAAGGACTTTTTTGGATTTATTTCACTGCAAGAGGGCAGCACAAAAAGACAGAGGCCAAAGACTTGGGTTTTGAGACAGGGGGAAGGATATGCAAATCTGGGAACTGAGAACCTGCCCCGAGTGCCCTGCTGCCTGGTCAGAGGTGAACTGGAGGTAGCAAAGAATCTAGTGGAGCAGGAAGAACACCATGCCCATGGCCCCAGGCCTCTGATTGTCAAATCACTTCATAGGCTGAAGAGCCCTCTGTGTGCATTCTGGGCCACCCTTCATTCCAGGTGGGGACAGCCTGCAGGCTTGCTGCAGGGGCTCTCTCCCATGGAAGAGAAATGCCTTTATCCTTAACACCCTGAAAGATGCTATGATGTCCTAGCGTCAGTGGTATGGCACAAGTAGCAGAGCAGCTCCTCTTCTGCTGCCAATTGTTTGGAGCACAGCCTCTTTCAGGGGTGCCTGTGCTGCCAGCCCCTGGCATGTGGCACACAGCAGCTGGTGCTGTTTAAGTGTTGTGCCAGAAGGGGAAACAATGCAAGCTTGAGGCCCATGTGTTGGAATGACGGAGCATCACTGGCAGAGCTCTGGGGACAAATTACATAGCAGCTTTGGCAGACACACAAAGCTTCCTGTGGTAGAGAGGAGCATGATGCTTCTTGCCTTGTTGCAGGTGTGCCCTGTCCAGCTGCTGTGTTCAGGCAGAGGGCTGACAGGGAAGCAGGTTCCCTGGTGGGTCATGGCCTGTCCCATTCTGCTTCTCATTGGTGGTGACAAGCAAGCTTGGTGACTAAGATGACTTGGGTCATTCAGATAATACCAGGAGAAACCTGGTTTAAATGAGTGTCTGAACTCAGTAGGGTGCATCTATAGTACTGTAGGGCTCCTCTCTGCCTATCCAGAGAATACCAAGTCCTGGCATACCTGTGTGAATGTATTCTTCTTGTGGCCTGGCCAGAGAATTGGTAGGGACCTCTCTCACTTGCAATAGATTACCTTTTCCTACTGCTTTGAGTAGTGTCCTCCCATCCCAGATAAGCTATTGCCTGACAAGCAGACTGCTGCTGAACCACAGGCCCTGTTAGGAAAGCTGCCTTCTACCATTGACCTTTGAACATCCACCAATACATTAACAATTAACTGTACAAGACTCCTGCTGTGAGTCAAGCAATGACATTTAGGCTTAAAAAGATTAGGTATAGTGGGGAGAAAAAAATCCACACCTGTGACTGTCTAGTTCCATCATTACCACAGGAAACTGGAGTTAATTGCTGTGGTAGTAATGTGTAATTGGAGCTGCTACCTAGAACCCACAGAAATCCACCCAGTGCCCTCTATTCCCTCATCAGCTGAAATGTTGACTCACATGATGTGTTTGCTACCAGGGTTGGTGCAAACCACATCCTTACATAGTGCTGCTTTTCTGGCAAGCTGTTGCAAGGCTGCTGCTGCCTGTCAGTCCCACACCTTTTGTTGCACGATGCCCAGCCTGACTCTGTGGCATGGGTCTTGGATCATGAAGGATGTGAGAGCAGATACAATTTACTAGGTTACTGAGTTGGAAAGTGTGGGTCATGTTGTCCTCTTTAAGAGCAGAGCTTTGAAAGGTACTTACCTTCATTATTCACTTTTACTTGTATGTTGACATTTCCTTGAGACTTAGCTGCACATGGTGTATCCTGGGCCCAGCAAGGGTGTTACACAGGCTGGTAATGGGAGCTGAATGCAGATTGCTGGTGTTCTCTAGTTAGTAAGAACTAATACCTCAAGGTGAGGTGGGCTGCAGGCTGTGTGCTGGAGTGATTGCTGCTGAGCCCCTGTGGGAACCAGCATGATGTCCCACAGTGCACCTTGCTGGATCCTTGGAACAGACATGATGCTCTGTCCACCCTAAGCAGTGTCTTAGTCCCAAGTTTCCTTTAACTCAGCCTGCCCTTTGTGGCCACAGCAGCCTATATTCTTCCAGACAATTGCTGTGCCATTCTTTAGTTTCAGGATGATTCATGCTCACTTGTACTCATGACCCAGTCGCTCCCCAGGTGACAGCTGTATCAGACCTCAGGACTGTGCTGCCTCCACTGCTCTTTTCCAATGCCAGGAAGTGGGACTTTCAGGGTGGAGCAGGAGGAAGCATGACTAATTCCAGCCTAGCTGCCAGCCCTCTGTGTCACAGTGCCTTATGGTGGCAAAAGGGGAACTAGCCAGAGCCCAGTGGATCTGAGGAGAGGGAGATGATGTCTTGGAGAGGATTTGGTTTCTTTCCAAAATAAACCATTTATTTCTTACATGAAAACCAATGAACTATTTATTTGGTTTGTTTCTTATGTGTGTATATTGGTTATTGCGTGGCCAGGATTTCATAGCAGGGGGTCTACAAGGAGTGGCTTCTGTGAGAAGCTGTTAGACTCTTCCCCTGTATCTGGGAAATCAAAGCCCATTGACTAAGGTGAGCCAATCTGGAATGACAGTAATGCCTCTGTGATAACATATATAAGAAGAAGAACATATATAATTACCTCTTGTGCAGAGGTAATTATGGCCAGAGAAGTGAGGAGTGACAGTATGTGAGAGGAACAGCTTTGCAGACACCTGGGTCAATGGAGAGGGAGGGACAGGAGGTGACCCAGGTGCTGGAGCTGAGGTTCCCCTGCAGCCCGTGGTGCAGACTGTGGTGAAACAGGCTGTTCTCCTGCAGACCATGGAGGTCCATGGGGATGCAGAAATCCACCTGCAGCCCATGGAGGGATTCCCATGCCAGAGCAGGTGGTTGCCTGAAAGGAAGATGTGAACCCATGGGAAGGAATCCCATGCTGAAGCAGGCTCCTGGCAGAGACCTGCAGACCTGTGGATAGAGGAGTTCATGCTGGAGCAGGGGAAGGACTCTTCTCTCTGCACAGTGGCAGGAACAGCCTGTGAAGAACTGACCATAACCCCCATTCCCTATCTCCCTGTGCCGCTGGTAAGGAGAGAGGGGTGAGGGGAGGGTGTATTTAAGATTTATTTTATTTCTCATTATTCTGCTCTAAATAGTAATAAATTCAATTAATATCCCCAAATTGAGCTTTTTTTTGCCTAAGACAGTATTTTGGTGAATAATCTCTCCATGGCCTTAGAACTCATGAACTTTTGTTATATTTTCTTTCCCCTATCCAGATGAGAAGGGGAGTGATAGAGTGGCTTTGGTAGTCTGGCATCCAGCCAGGGTCAGCCAGCTACTATGTGTTTGGAGAAAGAAAAATTCCTTTGTCAAGGCCAGCCTTCTTTCTTCTTGCCCTGTGCTGAGCACTCACAGGTTAAGAAGCTGTTGCATGGAGCAGTGCCTGGTGAGTGAGAGGGCGGCCAGCGCTGCTGTCATCTCCACACCCTTCCTCATGGGAGGCCTACCCAAACTCTTGCATTCCCACCGGCTTCTGTGAGCAACTTGAAGTAGGGCTGTCTCAATGTGAATGCCGGGACTCTGCTGCCCTCCTCTGGGGCAGCTCGAGCTCTCGGTAGGAAACATCAGACTCCCCAGCCTGGCAGTCTGAGGAGCATAGCACTAGAGGTATTTGATGTTCCCGTGCAAAAGGATTTGAGGGCAGTCCTACCTGGTATCTGCAGCCCTCTGGCTGAAGTGCTGCATTGGCACAGCTTTGTTGCTTTGTGCTCCTTTTGTACCTGAGTGGCTTGTCCTTGTGTCTGTTCTCTCTGCACTGTTCCAAGCACAGAGACACCTTCTGGGGTTGCCAAGAATAGCAGGGAGTTACAGGACCTTTGCAAGTACACCTAGAGCTTCCACATCTTAACCTGGAGTTTGGTTGGCAGGTAGATGGTGGCGCAGAGGTCTTTATTTTTAAGCAGGCTGGTTTTCTTCCTTCTGTTAAAACAAAAAGAAGAATTATGTTTTTGTGGAATGAGATACAACTTTTTTGTTTGTTTCCCTTTGCAATTCGCTTCCCAGTACACACTCTGCTGTAGTGATTCTGGATTTGTTAAATGGCTATGGTCCAGTGCAGGACAGAAGTTTCACACCAACTTGCTCTGTGGACACTTGTTCAACCCTCTGTCACAAGGGCATGCACCTGGGCTGCTGTTCTCTCTAAAAGGACTGCACTAATGCTTTGTTTCTGGGAGCCTGAGGTGAACCAGAGCTGTGTTTGCCCTTGTTTGACAATGTGCTTCCATTGTCATGGGATGTGACCTGAGTCCCTAGAATACTGGGGAAGCTGGCGGAGGGCTTGTGAATATACCATTAGGGTGTGGGGGCATAAAGAGCTGTACCTGAGCCTGCCCAGTGCTTGTACTGGCCAGGTGCAGAAGTGGCCTCCTTCCTCTGCCCACATAGCAGCCCAGCCTTGGTAGGAACTGTGCTTTACCAGGGCTCTGATTCCTGGGAAACCTTCTTTTCCTCTGAGATACCTACTGCTTTTAGTCTGTAACCGGCTGTGTACTGGAGCACAAGCTCCTTGCTGCCACTTGGTTTAGGTAGACCTGGTTTCCTTTGCTCTGAAATGTGAATTCCATCCCTCCCCAGGTGATTGTGCTGTTTGTATTTTAAGTTGTTTGAGCCTCAGTGAAAAACCTGAATATTTCCTCTCTGCCTTGCTAGTTCCTGCTGATTTTCCATAAAGCTGCAGCTGGGGAACTCGAGGAGGACAGTGGCCTGTTGACTCTTGCGAAGCTGTCGGAGATAGATGTATCCATTGAGGGAGTCAAAGGAGCCAAGAACTTCTTTGAAGCTAAGGTATGGTGTGGTGCAGAAGAATATGAAAAAACTCAGCTGTAGCTGAGTTTTCTTTCAAATTTTGTTGGACTCTAGAGTCTTTCTGTGGCTCAGTCAACACACCAGAGCAATGTAATTCACAGTCTGTGTTCTGGGTCTTATCCTGGTAGAACTGACTGGCTGACCTACGTCCCTGTGGCTGGAACTAGGTTCCTGCCCTGTTCTTTTAAAAGCTTTAAAGTTCTTCTAAAAGTTTTGTATACCTTCTGATGTTTACATATTTCTACTAGAGTTTCTCACACACTGTCTTGTAAATAATAATTTTACATTCTTCTTTGTAAGAAGAGAGAATTGATAGACTGTTAGTATGACCAGTGTAATTGGAGAGGTAGCAATTCCATCCTCCAATCCACTGTCACTTTTAGAATTCTATATATTATGAAGTCAGAAATAAACTCTCTCTTTTCCCTCTTTTACATGTAGCATAAATGTGGGAATTATTTTGTGTCGTAGTACACTAGGTGGCTGACCTCTTTTAAAGACAAAAGTGTCCTGAAAAATGAATGCAATAGAGACAGAGTTTTCCCATTTTGCAAAACCTACCTCAGCCAGAACACTCTGAGTTCAGTGGTGAACGGAGTGCTTTGGAGTGTAGGATTTCAGATATCTCTTTCTCTGTAACCTTTGGAATCAAAATAATTCTGCAGGGTCCTGGGGTTGGCAGAAAGAGCTGTACACCATCCGAAGCTGACAAAGCACCCTTTCTGAAAGCTCTCTTGGAGAGAAAATAATCCTGCTTGTTTATATAAGAAGTTTTTTCCCAAGAGCCTAACACAGCTATTGCACAGCAGATGTACTGAGATGAAAGCTGGAAAAATAGCCAGCAAGTAAACAATGTCTCTTTGATCTGCAGATTATCCATGGTGTAGTATGATGTTCTCAGATTTGGCTGTGATTCAGAGCGTTTTCTGCAGTAGTTTCTCCCACTGCATACTCACAACCTATGTCCTGCTGCCTGGTTACAGAAATAATGCACGTGACCCAGTACTGATGGCCTTGTTTTGGTCACTTGTTAGTGACTTACTAGTAAGTGACCTTTCTTCTGTTGATGTTAAAGGAAGGTAACAGGTATTGTGTGTAAATACCCAAGCATTGCAGTGTAATTAATACTTGAGCTGTCCAGGCAGAGGATCCCAGCAAGCACTGGGAGGTGCAGCAAGCAGTTCTGTGTTGCTCATCTGGGAGTAGTTCAGGCGTTGGCTCTCCCTCTGATGCAAGGCCTGACACTTGTTTATTTTCTCTCTGTCTCATAAAGGCTCAAGCTCTCTCCTCAGCCAGTAAGTTTGAAGCAGAGATAAAAGCTGAGCAGGATGAGCGAAAGCGGGAAGAGGAGGAAAGGAAGCACCGCCGAGCGGCTTTCAGGGAGTTAAAGTCTGCATTTACCCAGTAACCAACCAGCCAATATGCACTCTGAAATTGCACACAACTTGGTACGTTTCCCAGATCAGGGCTCTGCTTGGACGGAACTGCTTGGATCCTGCCTAAAACTCATCACAGCTTTGCTAGCCTTCCTTTCCGGAAGATCCTCCTGAGCTCCTAGGGGCACAGCTCTTGCAGTTACTATGCAGATATAATGATGTGAATAGTAGGGACTGTTTGCTCTGAATTGTTACGAGCACATGACCCTAAAGCAGAAACAACAGGTAGCAAATCATGGGTGAGCACTGACAAGCGTCATGTTTGCCTAGTTCATTCTTTCCTAAACATCCTTGTGCTCTTAATTCTATATTAATTCATTCATTTCTTACAGGCAAGTAATGAGGTCTTGTGTAAATCAGGGTGTACAAAGTACAGTTTGACTTCTGTATGTTTGTACTGCTGTTGGGTGTTCTCACCCTTTTCTTATTCCTCAAAGCCCCGTGCCACAGGCACCGTGAAAACACTGTGAAGAAAGATAATTATGAGGAACATGGATCAAATTCGCTATCATTTCCTGTAGCATTTTCTGCCACCCAGCATGTTGAAGAGTCTTCCAGTTTCTCTTCTCTGAAGTGCCATAGTAACAAACCCTTCAGTCATAGGTGAGATTCCCCAAGACTTCAAAGGGAAGAAGCTGGCTCTCTTAAACGAGGCATAGAAAACTGAATTGCCTGACCATTTATCTTCTTTCACATTCCATCACATTTAGTGTACTGTACAGCTTCACTGTTGTTCTCCGGGCTTAGGCAGCTCTACTTGTTTTTAGGGAGTTGTCAGCTGGACAGTGCAATTGGATGGCACACTGGGGTTTTCTATTTGGAAATTTGCTCATAGCCCGAATCATGAAGGTGACATTGTTTGATTTCATTAGAGGCACAACAGAGGACACCAGCACAGCATACTGAGCAACCCCTGCTCAGAGAGCAGGGAGGTGAGCACATTTAACTGAACTGAATTTTGAGGGCTTGCATTATACTATTAGCCATTTTTTCTTGGAAACATGGAGAACTTGCCCACAAATGTTGAGATGCCCAGTGCTTGTCTGGATATAAACACTGTCGGTCATGGCAGGAGAACTTCCCTCAGAGACCTCTCTCAAGACATGGATTTGCTGAAATTCATGGCAAAAAGTTAAATTTTTTTTCCCAGAAAGAAACTCACCAGTCATCTTTTCACGTGTCTGTTTTGCTTCTTAAACTGTGAGCACTAAACTGTGAGCATGGAATAATAAATAGAAAAACCTCTACTCTTTAATGTCAGGTGAAAGAATTGCTAAACGATTAAACTGTGTATATATCTTCACAGATTATATTTTATAAATCACGCTTTTGTAGCTAAATATTTATAATTAAATGTTTTTATACTTTACAACAAAGCAAATAATTTCATCTTCAATTATTTCTCCTGTTGCAGAAATGTAAAAATAAAGCATTGTTATCTTCAGTCTTGTTTGTGGCTTATTTCAGGTCTTTGAATATAGCATTTTTCACAAATTTTAATAGTAATCCCCAAAGCTCAGCATTCTGACTTGGATGAGTGGGGGAAGTGTTCAGCCCCTTCTTGATAACACTTCCTCTTTTGCATAGCAGTTCTGGTGTAGAAAGCCTTAATGTTTGCATTCCCTCAGAAAGGGACATGGCTGTGTAAATACTTGAAATACTGCCTACTGCTAAATGTTGACATCTGAAGGTTGTGAGCCTTTCCTTATCTTAAAATAGCCTGTCTCAGCCCCTGTAGTGCCCCAGCTGGGAGCTGGGCAGGTTGCTTCAGCTGCAATTCCCTTTGCATTTTCTGCTTCTGCCTTTATTAAGGGAGAAAAAAATACATGGATACCTGAAAATATGTCTCCAAGCATTTTGTTTGTACTATTGCTGATCTGCTAAGCTTTGCTGGCATTGCCACACTGAGAAGGGGATTCAGGAAGAGGTTTAACCATGCCTTGTTTCAGGTCCAGTGATGAAACAGAAGTATTTATATTCATCTGTATTTTATAGAGATGAATATAAATATATATATTAATATTCATCAATATAAATATTTTATCCCATGCATCTCTGCTCTATGCCAATACATTCACTGTGTCTATGAATCCTCAGGTCTCAGAGGTCAGGTAATATCTGGGTGAAGGTTCCTTAGTCTCTATTTCCCCAGGAAAATTGTGACACTGCAGCTCTTGATTTTTATTTTGTTGTTGTTGTTTTGGTTTTTTTCTCTTTACAGCATAGCAAGCACTGCTGAGTTGTGCTGCTTTGCACATGCAGCTGGGTAAGGAGTCCAGATCTGCAGGAGAAGAGGGTGAAAAAAGGCTTTTCAGTGGTTTTATTTTAGTATAATTAAGTCAACTCTAGCTGACAAGTTTCAGTAAGGAAATTAGTGTTGTCTATGGTTTTGTTCAATTCAAACTGGTGCTGTTAGTTGGGACCTGCATTCAGTGCAATGAACAATGAGTGCTTTTGGACGTGCATTTATTTGGAAGTTGCAGAAATGTGTGTTTTGACATCAGCTTTGCAAAAATTGACATTGGGAAATGAATCACTTTCTAAATTGTTCTGTTTTACTGGCAATTATTTGATTAGATAACAGTGTCATTAGATTGTGTAGAAGTAGTAAAGAGAAGTTGTCTAGCTGTATCTCCCACCTAAAACCATGTGAAAACACTTAGTTGTATTTACCTGTAATTTATCTGCTACAATCCTTGATGCTCTGTCCTTTTATGCCTGAGTCACCACAGGTGGCTCTCAAAGGTCCTGGAAATCCCAGCTCTCTTTAGTGGTGCCTGCTGGTATATTGATGCCTCTCTGGTATTTCTGACATGCCACAAGTGACTCTTAAGGTGGTGGTGGCAAGTAGAGAAGCTTGATAAAAAATCTGTTGCACTTAGTGGTCTTTCTCAGAAGGGATAAATACTTACCTCAAGTCATTCATCTAGAATGGGAACTTAGGTAGTCCTTGATCCCTGACGGGATTTTGTTTAACAAAACATTAGTTTGCCCAGACTAGGCAAAATGCAATACAGGAGTCACTAGCACTTCAGCCAGCACCGAGGGTGGGTTCTGCCTGTCTGTATGCTCAGATTGTGGTGGATTTCTCAAGTGTGCTCCTGTCACAGTCATTGCCATTGGCTGCAGGGGACGGCCTATGGCAGCAGGAAGTCTCACCTAAAGAGCTTAGTGTGGTCACAGTGCAGAGAAAGAGAAATGGTGTGATCAAGTTCTTCCTGGCCCAGGGTTTGGGGTTTATGTGTGAGGATTAAGGTGACAAAATAACACTTTAACCTTATGCGAGTGTTCAAATAAACCCAAGACATCCAGAAGTAATTGGGTGTTGCAGAAGTAGCAGCTTGTTTGTGGTACTCTGTCTTTCAGCACAAGCCACCTGAGGTGACAAATGCATTGAAGTGACTGACTTTAAAAACTGCAGTTGGATGTTTGCCTGCTTTGCTGCTGTTTTCATTATTTTTAGGGATGTGACAAATGAGGACATGGAAAACAGAGGCTGCTGAGAACATATTGACTCTTCCCAGACAAAATCCCTGGTTATTTCAACAAGCAGGGGAACCACTTTTCCAAGTAACAAAATGCAGGAGTGGCAAGGGGAAACATGACTCTGACACATTCTTCTGGGCTGCTTTTGCTTTTTATCATTTCAAAGCTGTGCTCTGTGTTCATAGCTCAACCCGTGTACTGAGGGAGGTGGGCTCTTGTCTCCAAGCCAGAATGGGTGAAAACAAGGGGTTAGTAAGGAAAGTTTCTAGTTTGTTGGGGAGGCAGCTTCCCTGCTCTTGGGTTTTTAATAGTGTGAATGAATTGGCACAGTAATCCAGGGCTCTGAAGTACATCATGCCCTTGGTACCCAGACTGGCTGCTGGGGTGATTTCACACCTACACAATATCAGCTGACATTCTGTCATTGAGCCAGGCAGGAATTTTACCGCACGGGTACAGTCTTGAATTTTCATGAGATTCTCTCTGTTCTGCTTGAATGAGTTGTGGAAGATTTAAGATGCATCTGCTATTACCAAAAGATTGTCATCTGAGTTTCCTTGAGGTATTTTACAGAAATGCCAAGTTCTGCGGATTAGGAATGTTTCAGATGCTTCTTGAATTTGATATTTTTTGTCTCAGTAATATAATGTTTGTGCTAACTGGGATTAAAAAAATTTCCACAAGTGCTAAACATCTTCCATCTCAGATAAAAGTTGTCTTAGAGCATGTGAAAATATTTTTGAGTGCTCAAACTCACATTTGATAAGTAGAATAACAAGGCACAGCTGCTTCTGCAATGAAATTGGAAGTTCTCACTGACAGCTTGAAATGCAGCACTGTCTCCCTCCCTCTGTCGTTATTAGTATTGGCTCAAACTGTGTGACAACAGCCAGGGGGATTGAATGCATCTTATCAGAGGCCAGCCCTTTTCTAGGGAGCTTTGCTTTTCCATACCAGCCTCCTAATGGAGAAATTCCATTCTAGTTTTTTTGGGTGAGGTAGTCCTATGTAGCTCTCAGCTAAAAATAAGCCCCAAGAATTACAGGCTTTCAACCCATTAGCTCATAAGAATCACTAGCATTCACTGTTGCATCATTTTTGGCTATCATTCAGTACACAATGACAAGTATTTATTCACCTAGAAGAGGATGGAGAAAGCTACATGGGTTGTGGCTGACATCATGATTAGAGTGAAACTGTTTCTGCTGAAAACGTTTATACCTTCAGCAATGCGTAACAGCCAAGAATAGTTTTTTACGCTGAAGGAACCACATGGGGCTATTCTGCCTCATGTACTAATATGGGTTTGGGGACTAAAAATAAAGTGGTATTTTTAGCTGAAGAAAGTTTGCCTTGAGCTGCTGATTTTTCCATCAGAAGAGTCAAAATATGTATCATCTAATGCCCTTTCTCTTTCAGCAGCAACAGCAGCTGCTGCCACTGCCTCCCAGGGTGACTCCCACGGCAGAGTGTCCTCAGGGCTCCTCCAGTGCCCGGGCAAGAGCAGGTCTAGCCCTCGGTGCCTGGGCACTGTGTGCTCACACATGGTGGCTTCTCACAGAGATTCTTGTGGCCACTGATAAAATGGAATTCATGGAACCACACAGAAGAAACAGATAAGGCTGGGAGCCACACTGCGCTGCTGAGGCCGCCTGTGTGTATGTGTGAGAGGGTGGCAGAATCGCGGAATCATTCAGGTTGAAAAAGACCTCTTAGATCATCGAGTTGAACCTGAGACTGCTCCCCGCCTTATCACCCAGACCAGGGCACTGAGTGCCAAGTCCAGGCATTCACTGAGCACCTCGTGAAACAGTGACTCCACCACCTCCCTTAACAGCCCAATGTCTAATCACCCCTTCTGTGAATAATTTCTGTCTAGTGTCTAACCTAAACCTCACCTGCTGCAGCATGAGGCCACGTTCTCCTGTCCTGTCCCCGTTCCCTGGGAGCAGAGCCCAGCCTCCAGCTGCACCCTCCTCTCTCAGGGAGCTGTGGAGGGCAGGAAAGGCCCCGAGCCTCCTTTTCTTCAGGCTGAGTCCCGCCCCCAGCTCCTTCAGCTGCTCCTCGTCAGACTGGTGACCCTTCCTCAGCTTCGTTCCCTTCTCTGGACGTGCTCCAGCCCCTTAATATCCTTCCGGAATTGAGAGGCCCGAATCTGGACAGAGGACTGAAGGTGCGGCCTGACCAGTGCCGAGTGCAAGGGGAACTGGCGCGGTGGTTCGATTACGGGGGTTCGGGCAGGGCGGGAGGGACCCCCCGGCCCGGCCCCGGCATCTCCCTCAGGGCCGGGGGGTGCGGCGGGCCCGCGCGGCCGGCAGGGGGCGCTGCAGACCCGCCCCGCTCCGAGATGACGTCACACAGGGGGGGGCGGGAAGCGCCGCTGCTTCATCCGGGTCCCGCGGCGGGGCCGGGGGGGCGTGGCCTCGCCCTCACGTGACGCTGCGTGGCGGCGCACCCGCCATCTTGTGTTGTTGGGTTGAGGAGCCGCCGCGGCTGTGAGGGACTCTCCGCCCGGGAGCGCAGGTAACGCCGTCCCGCCGCCGCCCGGCCCCGCCGCTGCCCCGGCCGTCCCCACCACGCCCCCGCCGTCGCGCGCCCCGTCTGACCACCGGCCCTGCCGGCGGCTCCCGTCCGCCTCGGCTGCCGCAGCACCGAGGCGCCCCGCGGCCTAACCGGGAGGCGAGGCCGCCCAGGGGGGTGGGGGGTGCGCCTGGAGGGCCCCCCCGCGCTCCCCATGAGCCTCTGCAGGGGTCGTTGGAGCTGGGGCGAGCAGGCCTTGAGCTCTCCGTGCGGGTCCTTGGTACTTGTCAGCCGGCGGCGGGGCCGCTCCTCACCGCCCTCCGGGGCCGTCTCCCCTCGCACTGACCCTTGTGAACTCGCTCGTCCCCTCCCAGCCCAGCGGGAGCGCCGCGGTGAGCCCCGCTTCGAGCACGCCCGGCCCTGTCGGGTTACACTGGCCGAGGAAGGAGGGAGCTCCGAGCCTTCCCCCGCGCAGGCAGCAGGGTGCTGGGAGCAGCGGTGACCGGCAGTGTTTGACTGGAGAAGCCTTGGCAGGCTGAAGAGAGCATCGATCAGAATTGTGTACGTTTGGTATTGATCCAAGACAAGTAGTTTCAGTGTCAACAGAGCACTTATGGCTCTTGCAGTTCTCTATGATTGCACTTTGGATTGACACAAGGTGTAGGCAAAAAAGAGGTATTGCCCACTAGTGCTTCTGCAATAAAAATCCACATTTCCCCCAGTAACATTCAGTTCAACGTTTGTGGTGTGCTGCTTTTACTATAATTCTTGAATATTTGTTTGCTTGGGTGGGTGGGGAAAGGACTTTTGGATTCTGATTATATTCCTCTAACTTCTTGCTGCACGTTTTATTTTTCTTGCTTCAGGAGCTGACTTGGGCAAGTTCCTGGAAAGTACGTGTGAATTTTTTTTCTTATGACTCTGCTGGTTGCTTTTGTTCTTAAGAAACTCTTTAATAAACAAAAATTAATTTGCTGTTATGTGAATGGAGCATTTGGTTGATACACAATGTGATAATTGGAAACCTTTGTAAACAAAATTGGTTGCAGTTGTCACCAACAAAAGCTTTGTTTTGGTGTTTTTAAGTTTTGTTATTGGGTGATGACTGCAGTAGATAATAAGAGCTTTATTGCAATGAGGTGTTGGTTTTCTTGCCATGCATTTGAATAGGTATCCTTTGAGCAGTTAGCTGATGCTGGTGTGAAAATGTGTGACCTAATTAATCCTGGGGGTGCCAGCAGAAATATTGAGTGTCCATGGCCCCTTCTGCACCTGCTTTGCTCCCCAGGTTCATATAGTTCTACAAGTCAGTTGATGTCAGTGGTTGTGTGTTGGTGTTAATTTCTGAATGAATGTGTGATTAAAAAACAAAAAAATAAAGTTTCTGTCTAATAGTCTGCTGGATTAAAGAGAAGGCAGAATTTTAGCCCTGGAAGTTGGATGTCACCTTTTATGTTGAGACTTAGATAAACTGTTTAATTATCTGACAATATTGTGGGTAAATACTGGGGTTGAATGGTTTTAAGAGCTTCTCAGGTTCTCCCAGCCCCTGGATACAGGAATATGCCTGAGGACACCTGGTCACTGCATTTCTTTTGGGGCCTTTTTCTGAATGTTTTTTTGAGCCTGTGTTTTAAAGCAGGAGCACAGAACTAAAATTTAGTGTGTTTTTGGAGAAGCCATTATTTGTTTCACAGGGTGCTTAAAAAAAATTTGATACCACAATGAAAACTTGGACTGTTACTTTTTTAATAGGTGTCGACCTTGACATTGTAAAATATCCTCAGGTGCTCCTGTTAGCATTTTTGCTTCTGTTTCTAAAATATACATTAAACTAAAACTATGAGCCCTGTGATTATGTACGTGAAAAAAAGGGTGTAAATAGACAGTTGAGGGCTTTGTAATTAATTATTTCCTTCCTGTTTTACTCTTCAGTTGAGGAAAAAAGCTGTGTAAAAAGGGAGTATGAAGTAGGCTTTGGGTTTTTTAAGGAATTGAGCTTAAGCACCACTCTGTCTCTCTGCCAAGGCCAGTTGTCTGAATGAAGTTCTGCTACAAACTGGAGTTCCTCATACCTGAATGTAAGAAAAAAAATCAGCAGTTTTTAAAGCTCAATAGATACTTCATTAAAATAAAAACAACCCAAGATGTCAGAGTCCCGTGGAACAAGTTGTCAGGACAGCTGAGTGGCTGAAGGCTGTGCTGGTACATCCCTCTGCTGAAAGATCTTTCTCTGTAAACGTCGAAGAGAAAACACTGGTTCACAGTGGCTGGTGAAGATGAGCTGGGCACTAAGATCTGTGCTTTCCCCTTTGGCCTCTCTCATTGTTTATTTATTTTGATTACTAAGAATGTGAAATTTGATTTTGCCTACTTTTGTCTGGTCTCGGAAGTACAAGTAACTGTCATATATATGTTTCTTATTCTTTCATTGAGATCTTCCAAATTCTTCCCTCGGACTCTTCAAAGTATGGTATTAAGTTCTCTCATAGTCTGATTTAGCAAACAAAAAATCCATTTCCTAGCAGTTTTTTCTTCATTTTTATTTTTTTCTTAGTTTTTTCCCCTTCAGTGCTTCTGCTCAAATATTAGTGGAGATAAACTATACATAATTCATGATTATAGATGAAGCCATGGGGCAAAGCAAGGGAGCCTTCTCCCTACAGAGATTGCTAGAGAGCCATTGCATGCCTTGGTGAGGAGAAACCTTTTTCTTTGTTTACTGAGGAAGCATTTGCCTTGAAAGAGACTCCTGCTTTGTGTGGTTTTCTCATCAATTTATATTAATTCATAGAGTGACATTTGAAATGCAAGGTGTGTGAAATGCTGCAGGGGGATGGGGTTTGCTCTTTTGGGAGCGAAGTCAGTTTCCAGCCCAGCTTAGCCTCTTCTTGTATCTCTTGCTCTCAACTCTGGAGTGGTTTTTTTTTTTTTTTTTTTTTTTGTTTTTTTTTTTTTTTTCCCCTTTCCATAAAGGATCTGGCTTGAAAATCACCAGGAGTGAGAAAACGTAGCAAGTTTGCTCAAGGTGTGCCTAAGTTATGGATGGCACTAAGTATTAAGTGCTTTAAGTGACAGTCTGTATGGCATTGGCCCTCTTGTGGTTGGTGTAATATGTGTGTGGATATATATAACTAGTTAATAATGGGGATGTTTAATGCCATTTTTTTAATGTTTAGCTCAGATGGCAGCTGGAGATTGTAGCAGGCTGAGGTCTTTGCATTGCTTTATTAGACAGAGTTGAGATTGCCACGGTGTTTTGATTACAAAACATGTCCACTTCTCTTTTTTTTGCGGAGGGAGGGCTTTCATTCCATTTCCTCTAAAGGTGATTAAGCATTCCTTGCATTTAGACACTGTAGAGATGGCTTGATGCCTGTGTGGGAAACTAGGCTGCCATTGAAATTTTTCTTTGCCTCTCTTCTTTTTTTTTTTAACGGGAAGGATGCATAGAATTGTTTTGATGCATCTGAGGTTTTTCCCAAGCATGAAATCAAAGTGTGTTTTTTCAGGAGTGAGCCTCTCCTGTAATCCTTAAAGCTTTTAATATGTAGAAGCTAGATATATGGACCTCAGGATTATAGAGAAAAGCAGAAGGAATCCCATGAGCTGTGTAGAGGTTGTAGAGTGTGTAGGTCAATGAAAAATTTTGATGGATGTTTAGAGAATTGTTTTAAAATTCTGTGCTGTTGACTGCTTTTTTGGACCACTTAATTTTTGATCATCTCAGTTATTAAAATAGTCCATTATCATAATTCTCTCTTTGGCCATATGTTTAAAAAAAATCTCTAGAAATAACAATAATTTGATGGCTCTAGTAGGTGTGCTTGTGTGTGTAGTTTGTCATTATAAACAGATAAACAAGCTTACATATGGAGTCAGAAAAACTGGTTAGAAAGATATTTTTGTACTGTTAAATAGTTATTATTCCAGTGAAAGTAAGCACGATGCACTGCAGTTTGTGAAGTGTTTTGTTACTTGAAATTTTGTCCTTCTTATTCAGTAGAGAAATACTTGGTTCAGGTTCTGGTTACAATGAAACAGTTTCTTTTTATGTGCATTCCCTTCTTGACAATAAATGTAAATTGCATTCTGTTAGTAGTATTTTCTCATAAAGATACCGGCTTGTCCATGGGTAGATCAGTTTGGGTGAAAGCAGATGGGATCCATGTGTTGTGTGTCCATTCAGACTGGAAGAAACAAGGAAGAGGTACACTCTGGACAGTGCGGAGATGACTCTGGGTGGTTTTGTGATGATAGGTAGCTGAACAGCTGAATTCACATGCCTTCAGCCTTCGAGTCAGAATGTCATGTGGCAAGGAGTTGGTTTGGTTTGCAAATAATGGATTTATAAACTGATTTTTTGAGCCACTTGTGTTAGAATAACACACTGAGGATAATTTAGTTGGAAGATCCTTTGGTGGTTTTCTGCTCCAGCCTCCTGCACAAAGCAGGGCTGACGTCAGTGTTAGACTCTGTGTGACAGAAAGTGAGTGAGGCTGATCATGGAGTAGCATATGGCAAGGTTTTTATGTAAAAACATTTCATAACTTGACTTAATAAATCAGAGGCCCCATTCAACCACCATTAAAACCAGTGGAAGGTTTTATGGTAGGCTTAGTTAATGCTGAATCATCTGCATATGTGATTTTAAGTGTACTAAGGTCAGGATCAGGCTAACATCACAAGTCAGTTTACAAAGATACGGTACTTAGATAAAATAAGTGAATTTTTTTAGCAAATTTTGGAAAAATGGATAAGCTATTAAAAAGTATTGTAGTTCATATGTAGTATGCAGTCTGGTAGACATGCTGATTCTCTCTGTTAGAATATTT